AATCGGTTTTGTGGTATCAAATATAATAAATCAACATGTTTATTAACGCAAAAATGTTAACTCACAATACATTGTTTTGTACACATATGGTGCACTTGATGAATTTCGATTTCTTCGGCTCCTGCTTCGGACATCCTGATGTCAGGCAGCTGTGACAATTTTATCGGTTTTTATTAACTTCCCGTAGGGCAAGTTACAGTAATCGAAAAAAATCGAAAATGAAAATTGTTATATAGTTTTACGTTTCAAAGGTTTCTGAATATTTTGGCATACCTTAAAAAAATGGATGTATGTGTGTGTACGTGTGTATGTGTGTGTGCGAATACAATTTTTCGTCGACGATTTTAGGAGCACCAATCAACCGATTTAAATAATTCAAAAAAGTTTCGATTTGTATTGATAAACAGGTCTAGCCGTTCCGAAAATACGGGGAAAAAAGTGCCAAAAACGGTAACTTAGTTTTACGTCCGATTTTAATAATTCAAAAAGCATTTAACTTGTATTGACAAGGTGAAAAACTGATTAAATTTTTGGGAAGGCAGGTCCAGCGATTATAGACTCTCAATAAAAACAAGTTGAAAAACTCAAAAATGTCATTTGGTGGTCAAAATGTTTATTGAAAATATGTACATCGAAGTATCAGATATTTTATAGAGATTTTAATAATGCGTACACATTTTGTGAAATTTTTTTCAGGTTCCAGTGCCCAAAAATGCGCTATTTTGAATTCTAAAAATATTTTAATGTAAAGAATCGAAAATAAAAATTTTTAATTATCTTTACGTTTTAAGGTTTCTGAACATTTTCGCCCGCTATAGAAAAAATTCTCTTGGACGATTTCATGAACACGAAACCGACTTCAATAATTCAAAATCGATTTTTCAATTCGATTAATATCAATCAGGAGACGAGCTAGTCATAGTTGTTGAAATTTTCAGAGAATGCTAGTTCACGAGATATCCTACAAAATCTATATGAAATATATTATAGAATGTAAACCATGAGAAAACTCCCCAAGTTACATTTAAGTTCATACATCGTCTATCAAAGTTCCAAGTATTGCAATGCGCAGTTGTGACAGATCTGAAAATATCCTACATTGTCATAAAAGTTTCTCGGTGTTTACTACGTTTGTGCAAAAGAATCAACTGCAAAGACATTTGTCAAATATCAAAATGTTATGTCTATGCAGTAGTTTTTTTGTGACATTCTTGGAAAAACATTTTTGTAATAGCAATTATGTAGATGGTCCAGTCATTATAGTAAGTTCACCTCGGAATTCGAGATACCTAGCTGTAAGTCAGTAAATACTTTTATATTAACACCCTAAGGTTGTCTCAAAACCTACATATGGTATTGGCACCCTACCATATGTAAGTTTTGAGACAACTTTAGGGTGAAAATATACAAGTATTTACAGACTTACAACTGGGTATCTCGAATTCCGAAATTCTTACCTAATTTAAACTTAAATGCCTAAATATTTTGTAAAAACTTTGGTTGGCGAATATACTCGTCATGGAGGACAAATGGCGAAATTTTGTGTATCTAAGTGTATATAAGAAATAGAAAAAAGTAATCCCATTACAATCAAAGATATTACAAGAACATGGTCCTGAGGTAAAAAAGATTCGATCCGAATGAATAAATTGATGTTCCTGGATATAAAAAGCCCCAGGCTCAATAAATAACACTAGGGGGTCGTACATAGTTCGTTGTATTCTTAGGTATACCTATTTTCTTTTACCTATATATAAGAAACTAGGCTCCAGAAAACGTAACGAATATCTCGGATGGTAATAAAAATGAGAATGTATGAGAACAAATACAATGTTCGTGGAAATATGTTACGGGATATACCGGAAAACTTTTGATATACACTAGAAATAAATATTTTTTATATGATATTGAGTTTTTAATTTACTTTTAATTTAAAACATTTTTGATGTAATCGAAAGCGTAACGAAATTTATCTATATGTGATGAAATGTATGAAACGCTATCAAACATAAACTAAGTCGAATAATAAAAACATGTTTTTTGGGTTAATGAACGTAAATGAATCAGATTTCAAAACATTAAAAATACGTATACTCATGTCAATAGATCATATGATATAAATGTGGGTATATCCAAATTTTAATTAAAACGTAAATGAAACATTTTGAAAATATTTAATATCAGTAACTAAATTATTTATAACGTATTACATTATCTTCAGATAGATTTTTATTAAGTAAAAATTTCCATTACCACATTTTCCATTCTTCTGTGTATCATATATAACTTCAAGAAAACATATTAAACCTACTAGCACCACCGTGAAATATCCATCTCATACGTCTTATCATGCTTGCCTACCCTAAATCGTAAGAAAAATCATTTATAATACTCTAATATCATACTATAAAAAATACGCTTTGTCATATTTCGATGGAAAGTGACCCAAGTCACGTGGACTTCGGTAAAAAAAGACTGGAGATTGATTTATTTGTGTCTGAATGGAAAAGAATAAAGAAAATGTCTTATAATACAGATAAGGTCGATTTTTCTGGATCAGGTTCTAAAAAGTTTTCTTTGGTCGGTGACAACAAGTAAGGGCTGTCGAGGAGGTCAGGAAAAAGGAATATAAGGTCGTGTATATATATATATATATATATATATATATCACAATTTTCTCTTTTCTCTTTCAGTTAAATATTGTTCTTGACATTTAATTAATTTCATATGATGAATCATTTACCCTCGTTCCTCAACAAAACATTAATGTCTTTTTAACAGCCATCTGATTCCGTTCGTTTAATCAAAACAAATACTGCGTTCGTAAAAATAACCAGATGGCCGGCCCTTCAAGGTCTTTGCCAAAATTTTGTAAGTCAGCCGTCAGCCGTCAGTCATGATATAAATAAATAATCAGTGTAGTCCGAATGATAGCTTTTACCAGAAGTACGATGTTGGCATTGAAAGCATAAACATGTTGGAGCAATTGCGTCAATCCATTAGAAGATTCGTATATAATTCGATTGAAATTTTTGCTAAGATATATTTGCTTTTAATAGCTAAATCGATAGAAATTAAACAAGTGAGTTTATTAAGTTTATGCTTGCTAAATTTAATGGAAAATGCAGAGACACAGAGACATTTGTCATTAATATTATCAAAAATAAATTTCATCACTTCCACTTTTTTAATATCTACATTAATAAATTGCTTATAAAGTCTGAATAGATTTTTTTTTAAATTATATTTCATACTAGTCTAGTCTAATATATAATGGTAAATATGGGGTTTAATGAAATCCAAGTTTTTTTTAATAATACATCTAATATATTTCTATTGTACTTTAAGGAATGTGGTAAGTATATAATATGATCTTTAAAAATTCTGTTCAGAAAAAATTATAAAAAATTTAATATTGCACATATTAAAGAAGTGGATCTATTATAATATATAATTAGCATCTTTTTTAAAAATTTATTTAAATCTTTAAAAAATCTGTTTATAAAAAATTTAATATTGCAGATATTAAATAAAGAAATATTAAAATTTATTCCTGCCAATTTTTATGACAATTATCTCTAATGTATAATAGCCCATGTCAACTAAATTTTTTCTAATAATATATCCAATATATTACTATTTAACTTTTTTAAATTATTCCATGTAACATAAATTTTAATAATAGTAATAATAGGAAAATTGTTTAAAGTAAATATTTTGTAATAATAGAAATAATACGTAAAGTTTAATTTTTGTAGAAATCTGCTTAATAAATTGCACAAAAATTTCAGTGTCAAATTGCGTCCCACGTGCCAATTTTACCAAAATCGAATAGAAATTGATATATATTTTTGTCAATTTACATTTTAGGAGCCCACAAACTGATTTATACTGGTATTGTACAAGGGATATACAAAGATAAAAATATATTAAAATATAAAAATGTATTATATAAAAAAATCTAGCAAAACTGATAAATAATTTGCACAAAAATTTAGCAAAGGCTTTATAATATATAGAAAATTTTAGAGAAAAACTGTATAATAAATTGTACAAAAATTTGCGACCCACGTGCCGGAGTTTGTTGATCCTTGCTTACCATAATTTACCAAAATTTAACAGAATTCGATTTTTGTTTATATAATTTTATCAGAATTTTAGGAATCCACAAACTGGTTTATACTGGTATTGTACAAGGGATATACAAAGATAAAAATATATTATTAAAATATAAAAATAGGGAAACTGATAAATAATTTGCAGAAAATTTTGGCAAAGGCTCAAAATGATTTTTTTAAAAATTCAATTATATATAAAATTTAAAGGAAATTTTAGAAAAAAAAAATTACAAAAACTTGCGACCCACGTGCCGGAGTTTTTTTATCTCTGCTTATAAAAATTTATCAAAATCGAAAAGAGTTTGATTTTTGTTTATACAATTTTATAACAATTTTATGAACGTACAAACTGGTATTGTACCAGGTATATACAAAGACAATATTAATATATTGTTGAAAATATAAATATTTATTATTTAAAAAAAATTATTTGCAAACAGATTAATTTGCATAAAAATTTGGCAGAGGCTTAAAAATATATTTTTAAAAATATAAATAACTGATTAATAAATTGTACAAAAATTTACGTCCCACGTGCCGGAGTTTGTTGATCCCTGCTCATCATAATTTGGCAAAATCTAACAGAATTTGATTTTTGTTTATACAATGTTATTAGAACTTGAGGAACGCACGAACCGGTTTATGCTGGTATATATTGCATAAGGCATATATACATAGCCAAAAATTTTGAATTTACTAGTTGCACTCCAATACTTCTTGTGCACATTCGCCCATATAGCCAATTGCATAAATATTAAATTGATTAAATTAATTAATAAATTGAATAATGAATAAATCAGATTGAGAAAAAAAATCTGTCGAATCTAAATTTTATAACCCTCATTACTACATAACTAATTGTACATTATGCATCAAACTCACCTCAGATTCATGTCTACACTTTTGCCCAGCAGGTACACTCAATGTCCTTAAAACTTAAAGCACACTCACATAGTTGATATCTATTATTACCACTTAGAAATTCTAACGCACACCGAAGTCAAACATTAGAAAAGTATTATAAACAATTAGTTTATAATGATCTAGAAGCACTTTTAGCACAGTACCACGTGTGTGTCGCGATTTCGCGTAATATTAAATTCGATCTAGGGTAAAAAGTACGACAGCATCCTTCCGCAAGGACTGTTTTCGCACGACTGATGAGTTTGGCACGTTGTTCGCGAAACGAGATGAGGGCGCCTGTAGCCTGTAGCGCAGATGGAATTCGTAGCATGTGCGCCGGGCACTACTACGAAAACATCAAACAATTTCTCAATAATACGAAACTGTTAAGGGTTGGATATGTCGACGCAGTAAAGGAATATATAAACTAGTGGTAAATGGCATTTTACCAAGAGGCATGTTGCATAGACTTCCTAATACGTATACTTTTTCTTTAATTTTATTTCATTGTGCAATCTGTTTCTATACAAACAATAAGCAGAAACTGCTATTAATGTTGTGTTTCATATTTATTTATTCATTTATTTTTAAATAAAAAGGCGAAACTGAGAATAAGGTTATGAGTAAACATTTATTTTTTAAATTATATTTCATTTAATATAGTATGTATTACCATGTATTAATTTAAGTTATGTACCTTTAATATTTATAATTGTATTATGTTGTGTTGTATAAATATAAATAAATAAATATAAATATAAAAAAATATAAAAATATATATTGACAATATTTACTAGAAAATAGTAGCAACCCCCAGCGGCATATCTACTAGATAGGGTGCGTCCATTAATCACGTGAGATTTTTATGGGGAGGGTGGGTTTGATAAAGAAAATCACGTAATATCACGTGGGGGAGGGCACGTATAGTAAGATATCACGTGTATTTATTTTATAACTTTTTTTTAAATTCAAACATTTTCAAAAAAAAAATCAAAAATTTTACAGTTTTTTCACGTAACTAAAAATACTGGTTATGTTTGATGGAGGAGGGGGTAATTTTGAATATCACCATATCATCATATATCACCAAGGAGGAAGAGGGATCCGAAAATCCTTAAAAACTCGCTCACGTGATTAACGGACGCCCTCATATATATATATATATATATATATATATATATATATATATAACATATAAAAATAATAATACCAAAATACAAAAGAAGATAAAAAAATACAGCAAGACAAAAGTATTTGTGACAATTTTCTTTTAAACCTGCTGTCCAACCCTTCTAAGTATACTCTCCTGGCCAATTTATTATGATGCACGTCTATTCTATAATTTCTGTCAATATGTTTACATAATCAATTTGATCAATGGGAATTGAGATTCAGCTATTTTGATAAAACATGGAACTGATTATTTCGAAAATAAAATTTTTGCTTTCACTAAATATTAATTAATGCGATTTCCAAATCTGTCGTAGGCCGTCTAACATACTTTTAATATCTGTAATTGTACAAATATAAATTAAGTTTTCAACACATTATATTTCATCTATTTTGGGTTTTGAATATGTATTTTTTATCAGTAACTACATACAAAACACGAAACTTACATATACACAAAAAAATTAAGATTCTGATTAGAATCCCTCAAGCGCGGGGCGAAATTTTAATCTTAGGTGAATTTTTATAATTTACCACCTATAATATTTTCATCCAAAAACTTAAACAGTAATCAATAACTACCTACAAAACAAGGAACCCACATATACCCCAAAGGCAGAGATTCATATTAAAACCCTCCAAGCGCAGGGCGAAATTTCAAACTTAGGTGAATGTTTATAATTCAATCGCTTAAATATGCCTATAATATTTTATTATGTTATTTCAGAATATAAAATCTCTTATACTCATACAAAGATTCATCAAAAAAATTCAAGAGTAATCAATAACTACCAACAATAGAAAGAATCTACATATACACAAAAGGCAAAGATTCTGATTCGAATCCTTCAAGCGCGGGGCGAAATTCCAAAATTAGGTGAATTTTTATAATTCAACAGCTCATCGTAGGCCTATGATATTGTAGTGTGTTATTTCACACTAAAAAATCTATTATACTCATACAAAGATTCAGCAAAAAATTCAACAGCAATCAATAATTACCTACAAAACAAAGAAACGACATATGCACAGAAGGCAAAGATTCTGATTAGAATTTTCCAAGCGCAGGGCGAAATTCCAAACTTAAGTAAATTCTTATAATTCAACCACTTCTAATATGTTAAAGTGTTATTTCAGACTATAAAATCTATCGTCGTTCAAAGTTACAACAAAGTCAAAATAAAATTTTAACATTTAATTATGAAGAAACGGCCCGGCGGATCTTTACCAAAAACTTATCAACGCGATTCCCCATCAATATCTTTCAAACAGTTTTTGAATTTCTAAAATTGATGAAAAACTGTAGGCTAAAATGTTAACGAAAAATTTTACACTTTTACGGTTAGGCCGATTGTTTCTATGGTTATAAAATTTATTATAATTTGTTCAGAAGTTTTCAAGAAAACGTCGACGAAAAATTAAAAATCGTTTCACATCAGTAACAACACACACACACAATTATTGCGAAGTTGGTCTCATTCGCTTCAGAATGACTTATATGTAGATAATAAACAAAAAATTGTGTATCACATATTACGTATATTTAATCTATATCTACATCACTTTAAGACGATCTGAACATGTAAAAGTACAATATTCTGGATTATGAAGTCGGCCCAGTAGAAGGCATGAAGGCATTGTTGGTTCTTCGTGCGGACTGAAAGCGCGTGTAACAATAGGTAAAATAAATGCTTGTAAAACAAATATATTTTACATAAATGTTGCATACTCACAATTATTGTTTAAACTCGATATTAAAACTGCACTAATTATCAATCTCACTAAAACTGTCCTGGTTTTTTAGACACCTTGGCAATGCGACTTGTCGACCCTTACGTTTGGCGAAGGGTCAACTTGCCGCCTGTCCTGTGCCTGCAAAACGCAGGAACTGACTGACGAGGTAATCGTAAAATTGCCATAATATCGACAAACATAGACCAACAATTGTAAAGATAAGAAACTTGTAAACAAATCATTTGAAGTTGTATTAAAATATCGATATAGTGGATGCAAGTGCCAGAGGTTGGTGGATGAATGCCTATCTATAATATTGTTTTGAAAACGCTTTGGAGAGTGAGCTGACTGAAACTTGTAAGCAAATAATAAAGGCACCAAGGACGAATCGGTAAATGTTGAATAAAAGAATATTTTTTTAATGTTATAAAATTATTAATAACTAAATCGCTCGAATAAACATAAATTTAGCAAATAAGATTTTCTGGCAAAAGCTTACTCATCTCATCATCTCCATTAAGGAGGTAGTCTACTTGAGAAGCTTCAAAACATCACTATTTTTGACAAATTTTTAGAGAAAGAAATAAATATTTAATTAAAACGAAACTTTCAGGTTTTATTGTTATATATCTCAGTATTCTTTTTATTATTCTTTAGCAATAAATAGAAAATACGAGACATTTTTTTGGTTTTTTAAGCACCCTTTATTAGTTAGATAGGGAGAAACTAGATAAAATTTACTACGATTACATGCTAACAGTTATATACACTCCGATATAGAAGTTTGGAATAAAACTATTTTGAATTCGATCTTCCATTATTTTTTAGCAATAAATAGAAAATTTGGAACATTTTTTGGTTTTTGTCAAATAACTCACAAATGTTATATGAAAGCACCCTTGTTCAGTTAGATAAAGAGAAATTAGGTAAAATTTACTACAATTTCATGCCAACAGTTATATACACTCCGATATAAAAGTTTGGAATAAAACGACTTTGAATTCGATCTTTCATTATTCTTTGGAAATCAATGGAAAATTCGGGATATTTTTTTTTGTTTTTATCAAATAACTCACAAATGTTATATGTAAACATCCATTTTTAGTTAGATAGGAAGAAACTAGTTACAATTTACTACTGTTACATGCTAACAATTATATACACTCCGATATAAAAGTTTGGAATAAAACTATTTTGAATTCGATCTTTCATTATTCGTTAGCAATAAATAGAAAATTCGGGACATTTTTTTGATTGTTGTCAAATAACTCACAAATATTATATGTAAGCATACCTTTTCATTTAGATAGGGATGAACTAGATAAAATTTACTACAATTTCATGTCAACAGTTATATACACCCCGATATAAAAGTTTTGAATAAAACGACTTTGAATTCGATCTTTCATTATTCTTTAGCAATAAATAGAAAATTTGGGACATTTTTGGTTTTTGTCAAATAACTCACAAATGTTATATAAAAGCACCCTTTTTCAGTTAGGGAGAAACTAGATAAAATTTACTACAATTCCATTTTAGATCATTTTATAAATATTATTTAATTTGAGAATCCTTTACCAATCTTTCCAGACATAATAATAATCACAAAATCCCAACAATAGCTCTCGCAAAGTTTCCGATTCCACTAACACTAGTCCGTAGTTTTAATCAAAAAGATACTGCACCTTGTTTCAGATGGAAACGAAGAATTCCTAGGATATCTAATAATTCCGGGATTATAGAAGCTTGATCTCACGTAATATTATATTGATCTATTGAACAGATGGATTCAGATTCTTTAATTAAATAGTCTGTAATTCTCTGATCTGAAATAATTGGATATCTTCTACGAAGAGAAATACTTGTAGTGAACAATTGGAAAATTTTATAAGGGAGTTGGCAAAAACAAAGTCGGTTGAAGTTATTTCATAACAAGTAGAGGAATTTTAAGGATTCACACTGGATGATGCCACAACATCAGTATACAATATAAACAATCTTGGCCTTCTAATTTATAAATCAATTATTCCCTAAGCAGCGATTACGACCTATTAAATTTGTTTTCCTCTTAGCTTAACGATCATTTTCACAAGGTTTGTAAAATCCATAAGAATGAGTGCTTTCCACCGTCGAAGTACATGCTACTTAATTATTTGTGAGTTTGTACGCCTTTTCAAAAATAAACTCACTCCAAACATTAAGTCCCTTGAAAGCTGTTGCCGGCATAAATAACATCTAAAGAAGATTATATACCGGCAGAATATTTAAAGTTGCCCACAGAATACTCAATAAAAATTACTCCAATGAGTTAAATTTGAACAAATGGTAAAAATTTGTT